CGATTGGCTCACAGCAAGGAATTCAACCTCTCCATTGACGTGCCCACTATTGTCAAAGGTAGAGCTCGAAAAAAATGCTTCTGAGGTCTCTTGCCGCAACTTGCACGTACGCTCGATTTTTTATTTCCTCATCCAAGAACAGTAGAAAAAAGACAGCCGTGGCTCTGACTTTCCTTTATAATCATGATCCTCAATAGCAATGTTCAATACAGGATGGAAGAAGACCCCACATGCAGCGTATTATGCAGAGGATTCAGTATCCTCGAATTCGTCCCGTCTCCACAACGAACCAGCTTCATCGTCACAGCCCACTAGTAAGCGAACAATTATTCATCTGTTTTTGTTTTTTCTCATCCAGTGGCGGCCAACTTTGCTTGAATTTTGTGTTGTAAATGGTTGTTAAGTTTAGCGTTTATTTCTTGAGGCATAAAAAATTGTGCCATTTCCACTAGTAAGCACCTACCGTCGTGAATCTGATAGTGCTACGTGAGTGCTGCAAATTTATGCACTGTGACGAGGAAACGGTGAAATTCTCAAAAGGAAAGACCACAAGGCGACGTGCTGTTTAAAACAAGCTGTAAACTTTTATACACGTCCTAGAACGCTGCTCAAAATCTACCTTCCAAAGCTGTACAACGATTTCTTGAATCGGGCCATGAGATAGCATTGCATGATCACTGTTGCAAACGCGGAATCTGACCCCTGTCTGATGGGGAAGGTCGCAGTGGTTCTGGTTCGGATCCACACAGACGAAGTGACGAAATCGATATCTTTGCTAGTTTGCTCTTCTACTTTTCTCAGCGACGTAATGAGAAAGGCTTATCAGCAGTTTTTTTTCATCAATTTTCGTCTATAGTTAGTTGTGTGGTAAACTACATTTTTGTCGATACTGTCCGTGGTTGCTCATGTTGTCTGTAGCGTACGCCTTCAGGAGCCATATCTATCTCTCCTCCAGGAGGGCGCGTCCGCCGCTGATCCTATCCTATATTTGGGGAGACAGCTTAGGATGGAATCAGCAGCGGGATGCGCGGAGAGCACCTCAGTATTGATTGAGGGCATTGAGGGCACTTGTGATTTCTGTGACTAGTCGCGCGAGGGATCGCGGACTTTGACACCAGACCAACATTTTTTCCCTATAAGGAGTTGCGTTAGTCGTACTCAGAGGGTCAAAGTATCAGGTTAGCTCAGCCAAATCTGAGATTTCGAGTCTACCTAGAAAGGTGGGTCAGTTTAATCATTAATCCATTTTCGGAGCTCAGTGGTGAGATAGAATTCAATATTCCACCTGAGATTGTGAGGAAAAATTACCTGGCTTATGTGTTTGTATCACTTGCATAATTTACATGGCGGGTATAGCCTTTGGGCAACAATCTCACTCCGAATTGGTGGGATAATGGTGATACCAATAATGAAGGCGTAAGGACGTGTCTGGACGAGTTTTTGAACCCAATCACATGCGATTAAAGGACGAATTTACGTTACCATATCTATCTGCCTTTGGGCTACCTTATCCGCTACGTTGTAATTCACATTGCGTGAGGTAAACGCTAGTATCTCGTCGTGTTCACGTTAATTCCGCCATCAGATGTACCTTGGCAAGGCCGTATCAACACTTGTCGCGGCTTTTTTTGTGAGGCTGCGCAACACCAAATCTTTATTGATCGAGGGCTACTCTATCCTTTTCACGGAACAAATTCTTCGACACCGGTTCATCTTGGGCAGAGTCAACCCTGCGTTGCGCAGTTCTCAACGGCCACGTTGCGCAGTTTCGCCCGATTAGACACGTTCTCTCGCGCGAACATTCACACTCGCATGCTCGAGCCGTCTGTGTCTCCGCCCATACAGCGTGCGTTGAGGATCTCTCAACGTGCCGTTGCGAACTGCGCAACGCAGGGTTGACTCTGATATGGGGTTGTTTGTTTGAGTGACTATTTAATGGACTCAAATAATAAAAGGAACATACGCTATATTCAAGTTGGTATGTATGTTTAACGTCATTTTGCGGTTCAAGCTTAATCGTGCTATTTTCCGATAGGCCGGATTAGATGAAGGACGTCCGCTCGTGGCGGGCCAAGAGAAATCATTAGCTGTATGCCCCGGGGTCAATGGTTGACGCACCAGCCTTCTATCATTCTTAGTGGATTGTTAGTTTGTAGATAATATATTGGAATGTGTACCCTAACCAAAGAACGTTCAGCCGCGATCGGAACTAAATGAGGTCGCAACTTTAGTCGCATATTGCAGTGTTGCATGGTAGCGGCATCCTAACAATAAGGGTCTTCCTCTCGAAGAACATTCCTCTGCAGTGTATTAAAGTGGCTTCAACTACTTCATCTCTGCGTTTGACGCGCATCAGGGGCTTCATGTATTACAGCTGCTCAATACGTGAAGTGCAAGATACTGGCGGTAGTTGCTCAGCATTATACAAAACTACAGAGAGGTGTATTAGTGGAATGCTTTCTTGCAACCTATCCGTCCACAGAAGCTGCGTTCCTTATAGAAAGGTCTGTAAAAAAAGAATAGATACTAACGGCCCGTGAGCATTTCTTTCTAAACGTTCGGCAGAGCCAAATAATGCCTATCTATTCTTTCTCGCAGTTTCTCTAATCTCTCTTTACTGTTCGGCACATTCCGCTGATTTTTTATATTTCCTAATTCACTGTTTCGGTTTGGTGTACCGTTAGTGGAGCTCGAGGTGTACACCTCCAGAGCATGATTTCCTCAGGTTCCTTGGAAAGAATATTGAGCAAATGTATTACATTATTAAATATTAAGACAGCGTTGTTACAGAAGGAGTGCCTGACGGTGATGACATCGATGGACATCCATTCAATGAAGAAGATCTTATTCCAAGTGTATGCCATATTTATTTCCATAAATTATATTTAATCTAGTTAATTGAAAATTTTGAAGGCGAAGTATTTCGAGCTTCCTGCTGGCATCATGCTTCCTGTGATAGAGATAGAGCAGTTCTCGGTATGAATTAAATGCAGTTCCGTATAACGTAATCGTTGCAGTCGGTAACGCAATTAGTACATTTTCAATTAAGCATTTCCTTTTCAGTACACGGCTTTGGTTCCTGACAAGCTAAGAATGCCACCGCCTGTACCACCGTCCCAGAGGCTTCTCAATGCACTCGACGAATTTTATAGCGCATCTTTGGACCCGACAAGAGAGCCGTAAGTAATTTTTGTAGATCTTACTGCTTATCGAAATAGCGCTCGGATGAAGTGTCATGCCGATAAATCAACAGGTGATTTTTGACGACTGTTCTGACGTTATCAGTGCAAGTCTCAGTGGTTTGCTGTATCAGAATCCGTAAATTTTTCTTTGATCAGACCGCTGGCGGCGTGGGGACGTGGAGGCTGTTCTGAGTTCATGGAAAGGAAACAAAGACTGAAAAATATACTGGAGGAAAAACTCAAGGTACACACTTAGTACTAATTTCCACCTCTTATGCGAATTTATGTTCGATGAATTCAGAGCGAAAATAAGACCATAGATGACTTGGTCGAAAACAAGCCCTCCGAAGAAGAAATGAAAATCCAACAAGAAGACATAAATGCGGAAATCAAGATGAAGTATGAGGAAATGAGGAGGTGCGCTTGCACTTCTCAATTGTTGTATGCAAGCTTGCTTGTTGAATGTAGAATTTTTTGGGGAAATTAGTCTTCTGGGGATGGAACAAAAACTTTCCAGGAATGCTGCTAGCCAGGAGAATGAAAAACAAAAGCCGGCTTCTCCTTCTGTCCCTTCTAAGCGGAAAGATCGCGGTCGTGCCCGGTATGTTATGAGC